TTTTTTCACATTTATTCTACAGTTTTTTTAAGGTATTCGGTAACATCCTGTATAAACAGGCTCTTGTTAGCAATACTGTTCTCTTTAATTTGACCCTGGTAAAAGACAAATTTTAACAGGCATCTCTGGCATCTGCGCTTCATAACAAGAATCCACGAATTCCCCAGAATACTTCAATGAGATATAAGGTATATTTGCGGTAAGCCAGACTCACAACTATGTACATGTAGTATCCAAGAATGAGTTTGCCTATGCATCTGAGTCAACTTCAGTACAACATAATATACGTTATACACATTTACATCATACTCTCAGCAATATACGGCTTATGAGTTTCTCAAGCGACATAAGCGTGCCAACTGAAGTTACATGGGAACAACAATTTAGAAAATCTAACAGTCTAAAAAATAAACAACAGTTTTGTATTGATACTTTTTGCTTCCCGGAGCCCGTTATTAACTTTTAGTTCCTACGCCGCTGGGCGAGCAGGTATTGTAATCGTGACAAATTTCGAAAAAGAGATACTATGTTTTTTAGATGTTAGATGATAATTATGTACACCATGTCACTCATTTTCGACTGTCTGTCTGTAGATGTGTCCGAAAATCATTGACCCCTCTAAAACCTGGAAATTATTGCTCGGATTTGGATGAAATTTCTGCACAAGGTTACTACTATGCCAAGGACGAAAAAGGTTTTGAAAACGATCAAGTGGCGGCGAAGAAAAAGGCCAAAAACAAAAAATAATAAAAACCGCTCAAATGACATTTCAGAGGATCCCAATCATTTTTGAAAATATTAAGGGTGAAAAATTATGGGTGCGACGAAGGGTATATCTAGAATTGTTTAATTATATCTAAACGCTCGCAACCCCCGTAACTCTACACACCTATTAGCCATATTTCACACATCGTGGGTTTCCCCGTAACTTTATCTTTAAAACTTTGAATGATAGAGAAATGTTTTGGATACGCGTCTCCTTCTGCTATCTGGGCTCAGCGCCCGTCGTAACGGTCTGCTTGATTGTTCAGCTTCTTCAGCGGCGGTGCTTCGGTGGGAATTGCCGCGTCTGACGATATAGGAAGGGGCGACGCTGCTAGGATAGGGTAAGAATATCTACGGACTAATTATATGGGCCTATTTGACTGACGATCCATTTAATTTCTCTACATGTACATGTTCCTAACTATTTTTTTTGCAGAGGGTTTAACTTGGGCTAAACTCATTTATGAACTGATGATGGCGTTGCGTAGGAAGTACAGAGTCAACCTACTTGACGCCATTTTGCAATACCGCAATTTTACTTTTGTTACAAAATATGAAGCCAATTTATTTTTATGATGTATGGATACAACGATTTTAGATGGTGATGTCATAATTTTGGGTAACTCTCAAGCACGGATTTGAATGTTAATAGATTTAGTTGTGTCAGTACAGAAAAGGAGTACTTTTCACGCATTATTATATAAATCTATTCAACATTTTAGATACACAAAAAATCCAAGAGCCATTGGTGACAATTGGAATATATTGAAAATGGCTCCTAATAATCCTCCATCTTTGTCTGGTCGCTTAATGAAAACACGTATGTTCGAATTAGTTTTAAATGACACGATGTTTCGGCTTTTCTCAAGTACAAACGACAATTCTGAAGACATAAAAAAGTTTGGCCGACCCGCAACAATTTTTTTAGCTATATCCTAAGGTGACAAACCTTGAAAAACGAATTTCAGAATTATCTGATAGTTTTGAAGCCTCTAGTAAAAAGTTTTGTTACACCTTGAAATCAACCGAATCTCAAAAAATGAAGCGGGGGAAATCCGGAGATCGTTGGTTTTTTGACGTTGGACCGAGTTTCAATACTATAGTTTTGTCGTCCTTGCTATGGGTAAGCATATGTTAAAATGTCAGAGATCCGAACAGTGCTTTTCATGTTATAGAGGACCCAAAGATTTTACCGAGCAGACGACCTACAAAAATGAGTGGCATTGTTTTTCCTGATATGGACGTTATGTAGGTAGCATTCAAAAATATAGTATCTCGATATTGAAAATCTTCGCGGTAGCAATACCTGTTTGTCAAATGGAGCAAAACTAAAAAGTCAGTAATAGAGAAAATATATGTCAGAATGTATTTATTTATATATAATTGCTCAACAAATTAATCCAATTACTGAGTGTGAACGCTACTGGTTAAGTTACCATTATATTGTAACTTAACTATAGTTGTAGTAAGCGTTCTAGACTACCAGTATCCCTTTATATACTCGTAGTATATATCCATCTCTCTCATACATACACATGCAACCTACCCCTGTGTGTGAACGTTTATTCGGTAAGCTCAAAGACATGCGTTTTTTAGTTGTGGGTCTCCGTCTCGAAAACATTGTCATTAGATATAAGTGCCCTTCAATCATATTTGTCAGAGTGACAACTTACTTGCCATCGGCGTGCAATTCGAGTTATCCTGCTATCAATCTTCAATGTAAAATTGTACAATGCCCGGAAATACGATCAATGGAGAAGGCCGACAGCTCGTGCTAAATTTATTAGAGTATTTCCAGGAATAGAATGAAAAGAGCAGTCCCCTGTTACCCACTTCATGAGTACTGGAGAGTAGTAGATGCGCTGTAGATTAGTCTGCGCCCATGGTATGGAGACTCGAACTGTTTACTTATTTCATATGGCGTTGATGACGTAACTGCCAAGAACGGTGACTATAACTACAATGGTGTTGATACAAGATCCAATGTTGACAACATCATCGGCAAATAGTAGCTTGCGACACTCTAGTGAAGCAGCAAGGTTATTTATGATGAACAAAAAAAGCAAAAGGCCTATATAGGTTTGAGCCTTGCGGTACGCCAAAGGGTACAGTATAATTTGCTGAACAATAACCATTATAATATACATATTGCGTTATTATATAACGCGGTATGTTTGTGGAGCATTCAGGGCCATCATAAAGTACTTTCCCTTTGAGTTGTTCCATATTTCGGCTTTAAACAAAGAAATGTAGATACTGTAATCAAAACGTCAAGGGCGTATTAAAAATGAGTGTTTTGAGGAATTGAAACTGAAAATGTGTGAGATTGAAAAGTGTTATATAGAGACTTACCCATAAATTAATAACTAGCTGATGTCAACCTAGTTTGAAATTTCAAAAATTGGACTAAAAATTCTTAGTACTTCGACGAAAACTGACAGGGCAGCCACAACCTAGGTGAACTTGCTCATTCAACGTTTCACTTTTGAATAAACCCATCGGTAAGGTTTATTATTATTTGAGACGTCAGTGGGCCGTGTCGGAACTACACTCGCGGGTCACCGATAAGAAACTAGCAGAGGAAATCCAAACGTAAAACCATTGCAATGCAACTAACGCTTATCTTCTACCGGTTGTTCACAGCGGTGACTTTCTTTGCATCTATAGAAAGGTTTTTTTCTACATTTGGTCTGGTCTAACTTGAACACTTCGAAATAGACTGGGAAATAAGAAGGTGGTGAAATTTTAAATATTATAATAACTTTAATATTCACTAATAGTTTGGCTATAACATAATTTACATTAATAAATGAAAACTGTGCATTTGAATAAGTATTTTTCTTGTATGTAACTGATTTGATACTACAAGTACTACTCTAAATAATTCATAAACTTTCATGAAATAAATCAAGTTTGATTTAAATCAGGGTTGTCCAACTTAATGTGGCCCAAGGGCCACTTCAAAAAAAAAATGCAGTTTGGAGGGCCGCATTATAAACTCTTTCTATACAACATTATTACAGAGTTAATGTAAGAATTGTGCATATTCGGTATTTGAGAGTAATTTATACATGTGATGTATACATGACCCGTGAAGCGGGCCGCAAGAAAGGAGTTCGCGGGCCGCATGTTGGACAGCCCTGATTTAAATAATAAATCATGATTTAAATCAAATGATTTTAAACAATGAATCATGATAAGAGAGAAAGATCGATAACATAGAAAACATAGTCACCTACCCATTTAAATTAGCCTTTCGATTCTCGGGAACTGTAGCAATCCAGACGCCCATGTTAGGCACATTTAATGAATGGTTCGAATTTCGCGGCTGTTACGCGGGTTCTCTTGGAATTTTTAATTTCTCTCTGCTGCTACCGAAACCGATATGTGGAATTCCTGGATTAAAATGAGACTTGTGTATTTTATCTATTTTGTCGTTTTCGAATTCAAACAATGATAATAACTAACAGTAGTCACGTTAAATTAACTGTATTTTGTGTTCTAAACATGGACGAATAATGAAAATAACCCTTCGTGTAAAGAAACACTCAACATGGGTTAAAATGAAACTAGATTTTTCGGTAAACGCTATCGGCTCGGTTACTTCCAAAACTTACTTTGAAAAGTTTGTTTTCACAGTTTGGCGGAAATTCCGAGCTTGTATCAAACTGGAGGAACCACTGAGTATTTTTTCAAACATATACCTGATTCGCTAAACAATTGTTATAAAAAGAACACTGTTTTGTTGTTGGACAAGCCATACAACCACCCGCAACTTTAATACAAAGAAGTGCTGGAATTATGTAAAAAATGACGCCAATTATTATGATGACGCCATGTGGACCATAATTTAAAAAATCGATCCATTCAAGCAATTGCTTGTGAGATATCCCGTCAACCTACTTGACTTTTCTAACTGATTGATAGCAACATAACGTTTTATTTTGGTTACATATCGTTGAGTAACCTGTTGTATCTAAAATGAAAATACGACAAATTAGCCCGTCTTAGAAAAGTCAACAAGACGTATAACAAAAACAAAATCGATCAAGTTTATCAAATAGAACCGAAACCTGACTGGGTGTGAACTTAGTTACGAAATATCGTAGAACTCACCAGTTTTCCATCTTAAACTATAAGAATAAAATGTTATGTCCAAGTGCGTAATATTACTCTTCGGTCTCCTGATCAGTCGCCGTGCGCTGTGCGGGTTCGAGTCCCGTCCCAGGAGAAATTTTTCTCTTGGCTATGGATGTTGTGATTGTCCGTAGGTGGTAGACGGTCTCTGACTGTCGAACGCGGAGGTACCACCCGGCGGATCTCGTAGGCGGAGCCAGAATGTGTGCATGTTGCATGCACACGTGTTCCCTCGCCAGAGTCCGTGTGGGGTCCCCCCCCCTTTCCCATGTATCCCCCTATAGCCCGACGGTACCCAATGGGTGCTTAGGCCTTAGGCGTTCGTGGTCGTGGTAGTTGAAGTATAAAAAAAAAAGGTAAATCGGATGCAGTGAAGTAGCCTATGTTAATACTATCCTACGTTAAATTTATGATACAAAAGCAATGCCTCAAAAATTCCCCACGGCGGCACTGAAATTTCTGTCAACCTGCGTCCAAATATAAGTTGCAGCCAGTTGCCGCCGAAAACGTGTCCTACGTGTGGTGTCATCGGGCGGTCGCACGGGCACTCGAGGCATGTAGTTGTTGACATTCAGCCGCGATTACAATTCAACAGCGTATTATCATAATATGTGTGACAGTTATATCCAGCAAATATATAGTATTACCGGGATCAGAAGCTTCTTAATAATAGAGTGCCTTTCACATACACCAAAAACTCGACATTTACAATCCCCCTATAATCCTCAATTATCGATGTTCACTCCTACAAATTTTGTGACAATGAGCAAGAGTCTCTAAAACGTCAACAAACTAAGTTCGGGCGATTTTTTTTCTTTTTATCCATGCCTCCGCCGACTCTGTATCGAATTACAAAACTTTTTTATAAAATAGTTTTGTGCTTGACATAATAGTAACCCTGAGCCAAAATTTCAGCAAAACCCGAGCGGTACGTTCCATGTTATAGCGGGGCCAATGATTTATGAACAGACAGACAGTTATATAGCGAGAGCCCCTCGTATATCTTATCTTAGTGAACAACCCTATGTTATATATTGATGGTTGTGCCCTTCAGGCATCAGTTTAATCCTATTACTCTTCAATTGAACTCACTTAGGTTAGGTTTGCTAACATATCGTTGTTAGTCGAAACATTGTATTTATATTAGAATAAAGTATCAAATCGCTTGTAAGTTGTTTTTTAAAACGCGATTCCGCGACGCGATACCATCATTGGCGCAGCCAGTAGGATCAGAAGACTGGACCAGAACTCAGTAGAGGACTTCCAGGCTGATTTCAATCACTCACTTCTGGAACCGACGAGACCAGGAAGATCAGGAGAAGCCCAAGGACGAAGATCGACGCCAGAGTGCTGTGTCTTCAAAGTCTGAAGGTAATTCAAGTCGAATTTTCCTTGTCTCTCCTCTCATCTTTTTTTTTATTTAAGATTTTTGGTGCAGTTTTGTAAAATTTAATTTTGCTGAAGATTGCTCAAAACATCTAGTATTAAGTTAGTTCTCGTTCAAGAGCTACATTTTTGAAGAGAACTTAATTTTAGTAAATTTTTCGAGAGCTACATTTTCGATTTAGATTAGTTACTATTTTTTAAATTTTTGCCGGTTGCAAAATTATTAATTTTAAGGAAATTTTCACATTAAAATAAAAAATCTCATTAAATTTTATTACATTCGTATTCACTTGGTATTTTCACATTTTTCATACTTTTACATTTTTAATTTTTACACATTTTTACATTTTTATACATTCGATATTTAACATTTTTACATTTTATTTTTCATTTTCTTACAAATCTTAAAAGTCTCTCAACTTTAATTTTCTCATACGCCCAGACCATAACTTTATGTAAGATTCTAATTCGGCTCTAGATACTATTACAAATTTATTAGAAAACATGTCTCTCAACAACGCAGTGTCCGTTCCAACTGTACAGGCTGCAAAAGCTATTGCAGATTTTCTGCCATATTTCGATGTTGATACCCAACAACTAGAATCATTCATCTTTATATGCGAAAAATTTTATAATACTTATGGTAGATCAAACCAGTTTGAACGATTTCGTCTTTAATGTAATTTGTTCCAAATTAAAAAGTAACGTTTACAACTTTTTAATGTGTAGACTAGATCTCATTTCTTGGCCTCTAATTAAAAATGCACTCCGAGAGCATTTCGGTGACAAAATTCATAGACAAACCCTTACGAGACAATTTCTGCAATTTTCAAAATATAGGAATTTTTCGGAAGATTAAAATTAATTAAATCAAGAGTTGAAGTTAAAATCCAGACAGATCCTTCACTCACCCCTAATCAGAAAGTTTTACTTATCAGCCAAAACGAATTAAATGCACTAGACGTATTGACCGCAAATTGTGACGATAGACTTAGACTTTTGTTAGACATTCAACAGCCATCCGACTTATCATATGCGACCAACGTAGTTACTTAACATTTCTACAATGAGATGAGAATAGATGCACAGACAAAAAGACAGAATTTCGGACATCCTAGCCACTTTCAATCACATTCACACAAACCTAGACGTTACAATTATAATAACTCATCACGCCAGAATTATTACCCATATTAAAGACACAACCCTTCATACACTCAACCTAATACCACACATATTTATCAATCAACACAAGTTCTATCCCTCAGATCGCATCGACCATAAAACAATTTTCCCGTACCAAGCCTGACCAATTTCACGAAGCAGAACCTTGTTGATGTAACAAAATTCAACTTGAAAACAATCCAGCATCTTCAAATATCCCAAGAACAAATCAACGAAGACAGTATCCAGTTTCCAGATCGTCCTTTCATTGGCTACATCATTTACCAAATTTTAAAGAAGCTAGGAAAAGCAAGAAGACGTAGAGAAGAAGAAGCAGTTCCGGATTCGCAAACTTTGGATCCCCCGTTTGCTCATCTTCGGCAGGGAGGAGATATATAGCGAGAGCCCCTCGTATATCTTCCTAAACGGTGTACTTATATCTTATCTTAGTAAACAACCCTATGTTATATATTGATGGTTGTGCCCATCAGGCATCAGTTTAATCCTATTACTCTTCAATTGAACTCACTTAGGTTAGGTTTGCTAACATATCGTTGTTAGTCGAAACATTGTATTTATATTAGAATAAAGTATCAAATCGCTTGTAAGTCGTTTTTTAAAAACGCGATTCCGCGACGCGATACCATCATTAGACCCACAGGCCCTATATGAGGCCCTAAGGTACATACTTATTTAATTCTAATTTCTAGGGCTTGATAATAGCTGAATATACCGAGCGTGGGTTTGACACAAATAATGCCTATCTTAAAACCAAATCCAAATCAGTATCAGTATGCAAACCTGACAATGTACTATAATGTACCTAAGAAAACATACAGTTTCTTCAACACACCATACAACATTTTCAAAGCAAACAAAACAAAACAAAATGCATAGCTGTCACCGAGGTTCAATGTTCGTTGTGTTGGTAGTTACAGCTGCCGAACAAAAACTTGTAAATATCCCAAACGTGACTTATGTAAATGATTTGTGACCGGATTACGTCATGTCTTAACCATCTGATAACGGTCGGTTTGGGCGACGACGTATCAAGTTTCCTTTCAGTCATAACAATCGACGGTTACTCCATCGGTTTCAGAGGATGCCTGATGGCAGATTGTGAATGTTTATGATGTACTTTTGCCGAGTTTGCAGCTTCCGGCAATCTGGCGTAAAGTCTAACGGCAGTGTGGTTTTCTGGAGCAGGTAGTAAGAGGTAGTAAATGGAGTCAAAATGCAAAACTGTACGCTACTGGTTGTTGCAAAAACAAGTGTCGCTTTCTCAAGGCCATATTGATTAGTTGATATTCCAATTTTCCGTTAAAAGTGTTAATTCGATTACTATATCTGTATAACGATACAAAGATGTATTTACAGGTTTCGAAAAAGGTGCGTCTGATCGCGATACTCTGGCAGCTTCGAAAATGAGACATTATGTTTTTTGGATGTTATATGACATGTACACCACGAAAAACCATATCACTCATATCCGTCGATCTGTCTGCTAATCTTTGGACCACCTGTAACTTGGGAAGTATCGCGGGGTGAAATTTTCACAAAAGGTCACTACTACGCCAAGGACGAAAAAGCTTTGTAGTTTTTAAAAATCAGTCCAGCAGCGGTGAAGCTGGAGGCAAAAATATCAGAGAAGTAAAACTTGCTGAAACTTCGTTTTTTGATGTTCTTGAAAACTCTTAGAAGAAAGCTTATAGGGGTTAAAATTTGGGGGATTGGGAGGGTACATGAAAATATTTTGATTGTTAGTTTATTTATACGCTCCCAACCTCGGTAATTCTATGCACTTATTAGCCATATTTCACACATCATACATACATTTGCCTTTAAAACCGCGGGGCGTACCGATCCAGTTGACTAATCTATCCTTGCTGTAGCGCACAAAACACATACACGGAATGAACGATGACTCGCTGCAGCAGTGAAGCAGTGGGCGCTGCCGTGCAGATGTGGGAAGGGAGAACAGTGCCAGTTGAACAATATCTACCGGTAGGGCAGGGAAAGATGTCTATGAACTAATTGTAAAGGCCTTTTTGACTGATTTGGTTCCTTAAATTTCTCTGTTTTACATATACATAGCTGTCTGACTTTTTCAGAGGATTTAAATTGCGCTGAACTTAAACCTTTATGAAATGATGATGGCGTTGCGGAGAAAATGCAGAGTCAACCTACTTGACGCCATTTTTTGTCCCAGATATCACGAAAAATATACTAGTTATGAAAAATACGACCCTTGAGATAAATATTCAGCACATCATATTTTTTAACAGTGTCTTTTAGTTGCTTTGTCCAACAAGCACTATTTCTTAATGATATTTTTGTTATTTATGGAATTTTTCACTATATATTTTCTATTTTCCCGTTTCTATATCCATCAATCCATATATGGAATTTGGAATGATAAGAGCTCCTTTAGAATTACCATTTATCTGAATATTGAAACCGATATGGGATTAGGATGTAAAAGGATGCAATTGAAATACAGATATATGTATATATTTCCAGTGTCATGTCGTATATTATATTACCAATTCTCATACATATTTCAACAGATAAAGCTCTCCCTTTTACATTTAAAGCCGGTTTTCATATTTTCAGTAGTACAGAAAGTTGGTTCGACTTATGCGTTCTTGTATAACTTTGCAAATCAGCATCTTTGTAAGATGTAAACATAAAAAATGAGCCTGTCACAAAAATTGCCTCCATCTGGTTTGCATCGGGATAGTTATGCAGTTTAAGGACTTGTTAACGTTAAGTGAGTATTATTCGAAATACATTATCGAGTAAATAATGTAT